AATTTTTTCAAAAATCAAATCGTAAAGAACTCAAACTTTGTCAGACTATTCTTCTAGCTGCAATACACAGTTGATATATTATTTCAAAGCTCATTTTCAAAAGATCAGCTTCACCATTCCAAAAAGGAGATTTCTCATGAGATTATAGCGGCTTGGGCATTTGAACGTATACAAGACTTACCAAAGGACTTCCAACTTTTTTAGACTGATTATATAAGCCTGTCGATTCTGTTGTGACGATATCTCACAAACCATGCTTGGTAGGGCCTTATATCGCGTATTGCAATGAAAATTCGGTCCGAATCGGAATTATCTGTAGAATTCTGTCGTTTTTGTAGGTGATATTAACAGATTAATGGTGAGTGACTTGTGGAATTCCATGGATCAACAATGAATCACCAATGCCCACGAGCTTTCTCCTGTGCCTTGGTTAATTTAGTGAAGTTCCACTATATTGGTTTTTCATCGGACGCTAATGCGAAATATTTGAAGTGTATGCGACTTTTCGCGTTTTTTCGCTGACTTCGATCATAATATTTTTCATTGTAAATTTTTATTCGACGTTACAGTTTCGAAGGAATGGTGTTGGTATTTTCTAAACAGGATATAACTGCTTGTTTTCTTCCAAGACGGAATACATCTCACGACGAAACTGAGAAATCGACTATCGTTGAAAAAGCAAGCTTAAAAATGGGATAATATGTGGATAATAATCATTTGAAAGAATTAATGAATAAGTATAATAAATTCGAACATAACCTAATTCTAACGGACGCTGATCAAAAGCTCGTCAAAATTTTCGTTCATGTGAAAAAATATGCTCAGTTAATGTTCTCGTTAATGTTGCTGGGAAAAGATAAGAACCGTACAGGAACGTATACGTATCTTGTGTCACTCCATTTGTTGATTGCCAATAAAACCACATCTATAGCTGATCGTATTTATTTTTGCTGGTTCGCTTTATTCTTTATTCGTTTTTGGCGTCAATGGTTTGTCTACGAGGAAACTTTGAAAATAAAATCATCATTTATTACGCAACCCTCTTCTTATTGTACCATAAACCTCTTTGCAGCATTTTGCCAAACCATAAAAGGTGGCTGATTGAGACACTTTCATGTTTTGTACACGGCGCTTTTCTTTTAGAGTGTTTTCTGTCTGTTTTTATCCTCGATAAGAAAAATCTTTTCTTGAAAAAATTTGTAAAAAAACTCACGTCTGAGATCAGCCGCTCAATTCTTTCGCTTCCCAATATCTGAATCCTGGAGGATTCGGAGATCGAATCCGATATCACTATGCAGCTTCAGCTGGCGACGAACAAAAGCAAGGCACAGGAGAAAGCTCGTGGGGATTGGTGATTCATCGTTGATTCACGGAATTCCACAAGTCACTCACAATTTTTAAGGCTTTATTACCCGTCATAAAAAGCATCTAGTAGGGGGTTTTTGACATCTGCCATACCCCTCTTTATAGCATTTTACCAAACCATAAAGGGTAGCTGATTGAGACACTTTCATGTTTTGTACACGGCTCTTTTCTTTTAGAGTGTTTTTTGTCTGTTTTTATCCTCGTTTTCTTTCCAAAAACCTGAATCCTGAAATCTAATGCAACTTTTATCTTAGGCGAATGCAATAAGGAAAGTCAAAGAAAATAAATAAAGAATAAAAGAGCAATTAAATCGGAAAAATCCACTACTGCACTGATCCGCAAAAATTTTTTTTTTCCAAAGCTCTGTTTACAAATTTCTATTCTGATTTTGAGAAAGTCGAATTGGCAACTCTTAAATTAGTACCTCCCAGTAGTATAACTATAATTAGGACAGAAACATGAATAGAAGAATAGATGATTGTAAACGTCACATTTGAATGCAGTATTAGTCAGTTGGAGGCATTTAATAAGTGTTTTAGAACGTGGTGAAAACAGTGAGTAAATGTTTTGCTTTTTAATGCTTCACAAAAGAAATAGGAGATAATCGTTAGTTAGTTGATCAAAACAGTCAGTTTTAATCCAATCAAGAGAAAGCACAATGGAAAGGAACAACTAAATCTAAGACGCTGTCCTACACAAGTCCGATAACATTTAGTTTCTAGAAACTGAATTTCTATTCAAATATAAATATAAAATAACATCTGTCAACAACGACGAATGCACACGATAAAAAATAAAAACGTATTAAATACACATTGTTTTTAGAAACATTTTCGATGAACAATCGATGGTCCACTTTCATCATATTCTTGTTTTGATATCCACATTTGTTGAAATGTTGATAATGATGCCAAGATACTTCCACCAATCCATACAGAATATTTTCGTTCGGGTGGAGCGATGATTTTTATTTTCATTGCTGATGGTGCCAAGGATGTTATTTCTTTTTGCATACGATCAGCGATGCCTGGATACATTGTTGTACCTAAATGAAAAGAACAATATAATATCTTTCCCTCTGTGAAAAGACAAAATACGCACCCCCAGATAAAACTGTGTTGGCATATAAATCTTTTCGAATATCTATATCACATTTCATTATTGAGTTGTAGGTTGTTTCATGAATTCCTAACAATGAAGAGAGAGAGATTAAAGCTTAGTTAAAATTGAGTAAATGACAAAATCTCAGTAACTTACCAGCTGTTTCCATGCCTAAAAATGATGGTTGAAACACTGCTTCTGGACAACGAAATCGTTCATTTCCGATTGTAATTACTTGTCCGTCGGGTAATTCATAAGACTTTTCTAACGAAGATGACGATGCTGCAGTACCCATTTCTTGGTCAAAATCTAATGCAACATAGCACAATTTTTCTTTGATATCACGTACAATTTCACGCTCAGCTGTTGTTACAAATGAATAGCCACGTTCAGTTAAGATTTTCATCAAATAATCGGTCAAATCACGACCAGCCAAATCCAAACGAAGAATGGCATGTGGCAATGCATAACCCTACGACAAAAACAAAGAAAGAAGAGTGCTGTGGTTTTGTTTATTTAAAAGAATTCACGTACTTCATAAATTGGAACTGTATGTGTTACACCGTCACCACTATCCATTACAATACCGGTTGTTCGACCACTTGCATACAAAGATAAAACAGCTTGAATGGCAACGTACATGGCTAAAAATAAGACAAAAACAATTAGCTTTATCTATCAATTCCTTATTCTTTTCTCTGTATTGATATACCAGGTGTATTGAATGTTTCGAACATGATTTGTGTCATTTTTTCACGATTTGCTTTGGGATTCAACGGTGCTTCGGTTAACAGAACGGGATGTTCTTCGGGTGCCACACGTAATTCATTATAAAAAGTGTGATGCCAAATTTTTTCCATATCATCCCAGTTAGTAACGATTCCATGTTCAATTGGATATTTTAACGTTAGAATACCACGTTTCGACTGTGCTTCATCACCAACGTATGAGTCTTTTTGACCCATTCCAATCATTACACCCTGATGACGTGGACGACCGACAATTGATGGAAAAACTGCGCGTGGTGCATCATCACCGGCAAAACCAGCTTTACACATTCCTAAACATAATAATATGGTGAGAACGACTAAAATAATAGTCCAGAAAGAATGAAAGTGTTTCTATAAGCGTTACGTTAGAGTAGAACAAATAATTCGAAAGAAAATAAATTTTTGGCTAATTTGTTAATCTCTATAGCAAACTCCTTTACACTAACCTGAACCATTATCAATTACTAATGCCGCAACATCGTCTTCAGACATTCTTGAAATTATAGTTTAATTTAGAAAGTAAAATGTTTTGCTGATTAAGGTGTTGTTTGTGTTCTTCTGTTTGTACGTTTTGTTGTGTCGGTATCTATTTATAGGACAAAAAATATATCATTTTTTTCTTCCTTTGTTTAAAAAGTTTTGTTTATTTTACCATATATAGGCATGAATTTATCAGTGGCAAAGACCGAAACACTGAAATTATCATACCAATGCCAAACAATGTTTATATGAGTCATATACCTGATTAGGAAAAAAATGGATACCTGCGTGTATTAGTAAGTCGACATTATTATACGACAAGAAAAATATTTATCGAAATACTTGTCGAGTACACAGTCAATAGAGAAGCATATCCCGATTGGAATATATATCCTGATCGGGATATATTTAACCTTTTTACAGCGGAAGAAATCTCAATCGAGACATAGAGCATGAGACTCCCATCTCTGTTGGTTAAATGTTTTTTCAAGATGAATATTTTTTTAATCTTTGGTAGTGGAAACCTCGAGGTTTAAGCCTTACATGCATCTGTGGCTCACAGATAGACCATGGCCTTCAAGCTCTTAACTTCTTTTCTTTGACTTTCTTTTAACTTTGCTCAGATGAAGACTTGTGCATTATTCTCTTTTTAGAGAGGCCACTTAAAAAATATGCGAAAACTTTGGAGAATAGTCGAAACAAAATAAGGTATAGTACTCGATAAAAATATTAGACTCTATATCAACACCGGTTCGCATGTGAATATTACCGATAAGACGCTTGCTATATGTGAAGAAAAACATTCACGCTGGGACTTTCAGAGAATGTATACCCGAGCATATTATGGCTAGGATCAGTTCGTTATTAGAGCCAATCTAATATTCTGCGAATGAGGCGACATGGCTGTGCCCCAATCCTCTGTGTGGCAGGCGTAGATATTCTGCACAAATTCCGCTTTGTCGCCAGTTCGTAGTATTCCTGGTACAAATTTTTACCAACGATTTTAAAGGTGAATACGTTTTGATAGGAAGAAGTCAGTAGATATTACTGTTTGTAGACACTGTGAAGTGAGCAGTTTTATTTTCTCCTAGAAATAGTAATGTTCATTTCAGAGAATGTGTACCCGAACATATTATCGCTAGGATCAGTTGCTTATGCTAAAACGACAGTAGTAAGTTATCATAGTGACTACCAAAAATTCGAACGTTTTGCTTTACTATTCGACAGAACTCATGTACCAGGACAATCGCCGGTCACTGAACATTTATTGATGGATAATGCTTATCGAGTTACATAACAAATAAATCAGTGGAAAAGTAGTAGTTTTCCAGAGAACTCCAGCAAAACTACACCATACAAAATTCTAATAAAACTTCGTCTTCTACAAGTTTGCAACTACTTATTTTCATCTTCAAATTGCAAACCTTCGAGATTAACAAGTTCCCAATAAAGAGTTCACCATTCAAGGGACGCCCACCTCAAACCTCAATCCAACACAAATGACAGTTCCAGTCTTCCAACAAATCACAATGTAGCCATACATCATTAATTTCACGACAAAGCGACCCGACTATACGCATGAGTCATCCATAAAACCAGAGCATATGACCACAACTTTCGCGAACACCCCGCATAACGTTACTATACAAAAATATGATTTCAAAGAGAGCAGCACAATACACTTCACATCCGATGAAGTATCGTTTTAATCACCACTATCAACTAAACAACATCCTATTCAGTCATCCCACGGTTCATGAAGAGTTGAAATCAAGGTATTATTCATATCATTCCTAGCTCTTACATGGCGCCAGACGACATTTCACTTTAGATGAAGTATCATTTATATCACCATTATGTACTCAACAACATCGTATTCAATCATCGCACGGTTCATGAGGATTTCCAAATATGATAGTGTTCATATAATCGCTAGCTCTCACATGGCGCCGGACGACATTTCACTTCGAATGAAGTATCATTTATATCACTATCATGTACTCAAGAACATATGATTCAATCATCGCACGGTTCATGAAGAAGTGAGACCAAGGTATTATTCATATCATTCCTAGCTCTGATATGCTGCTAGACGATATTTCACTCGAGATGAACTATCATTTAAATCTCCATCATGTACTCAACAACATCCTATTCAATCATTGCACGATTCATGAAGATTTTCAAAAATGATAGTGTTCATATCATTCCTATCCCCCATATGGCGCCAGACGACATTTCACTTCAGATGAAGTATCAGTTATATCACTGGCATGTACTCAACAACATCATGTTCATTCAAGGCACGGTTCATGAAGAATTGAAATCAAGGTATTATTCATATCATACCTAGCTCTCACATGGCGCCAGACGACATTTTACTTCAGATAAAGAATCATTTATATCACTGTCATGTACACAACAACATCCTATTCAATTATCGCAATGGTTCATGAAGATTTCCAAATATGGTAGTGTTCATATTTCATTACTAGTTCGCACATGGCGCCAGACGACATTTTACTTCTGATGAAGTATCATTTATATCACCATCATGTACACAACAAGATCCTATTCAGTCATCGCACGGTTCATGAAGAGTTGAAATCAAGGTATTATTCATATCATTCCTAGCTCTTACATGGCGCCGGACGACATTTCACTTCGAATGAAGTATCATTTATATCACTATCATCTACTCAAGAACATATGATTCAATCATTGCACGGTTTATGGGGATTTGAAGCGAAGGTATTATTCATATCATACTTAGCTCTCACATGGCACCGGACGACATTTCACTTGAGATGAAGTATCATTCATACCAGTATCATGTACTCAACAACATCCTATGCAATCATCGCACGGTTCACGAAGAATTGAAACGAGTTTTTACATGAATTATACATCGTTTTTTGTCGATATCATGGTGAATGGCCAGGATTTGAAATGATGTTCCTGGTGGAAGGAGCACTTCTTCCTCATGTGGATAGTTGGAGCATGATGATATGTCAATGCCACCTATGTTTGCTGCATTGATGATGAATAAGGTGTTGCCGAATCGTTCAGCCTTTTGACGACTTCTGCTTGTGGAAGTAAAACCATCCCAGCACCGCTCTTCACCAATTGCTTCTTGGTAGCGTTTTATCATTTCGTCGTTCAAATTGGCTCCTCGATAGAGTTCATTCCTGTAACGTTGCCGATTGTTGTACCAAGAACCTAATAGGAAGTAGCAAAATAGTGCGAGAGTATGCGTTTTCGTAGTATCATTTTTTCTTAATGTTTCGTTTACGAGTTTGTATAAAAAGCATTCTTTGGTATATAGGTTGATGCAACATTTATAAATGTCCTTTCGGTCTTTGTACTTCACAGCTCTCAGTTTGCAAGCCATCCATTGTGACTCACAGTTTTGGCCACTTTCCTTCCCTTCTAGAATTATTCCGTTGGCCGCCTGCTCTATTATTTCAGCATCAGAAATGTTATTATTTTTGTCGGTCCAGATTCTTATAAAACCTAAAGCCGACTTCCCGTTATCATCATTGAACGGTTTGTTCAATACTGGTGGATGATAGAATCTTTCTTCTCGTAAGCCTTCGTTCACATTTCTGTTAATTAGAACTCGCTTGATTTGTCTTTGTTTACTTTTATCATATTTATTAATTTGAATGTAGTCATTTAAGTTAATCCAGTAATTGTCCAATTCAACCAGTTTTGTTTTAGTATTCTCATTAAATGCTTCTTCAATGATTCGGATTCGATATCAGAATATTTTGTCCATTCTTCTTTTTTATTCACTGACCATGGGTCAGAATTCGATTTCCAATACCATTGTGCTCGTTTTTGAACAATTTTATTCACCACCTGATTTGCCATGGATTACGTCTCTTCGAGCTTGTTGTTATTAAAAATGTTCGTAGTACTAAAGAAAGTATAAAGCAAGTAGCAAGAATTTTGTGTATTGGTCAAGTTTTCAACGACATCTCTGAGAAATTATGTTTATGTGTATGCTTTTTTTGCTAGTGTAAAAAGAAAATTTTCTATTTCACTACTTGGTATCGATCTCAAGCGCGTCAGAAAATTCTGAGCTGGTATCGAAAAGAACCGAAAGTTTTCAAGCTGTTATTGAAATGTCGAAGTTTGGCATTCGAGTTAATGAAGTTTAGTGATCAATGAAATAAAATTTTTGTCGCATTTTCTTTTTAATCGATCAAAAAATCTTTTGTTTGCTTTCAATATCTGGTTGACTAGACATTGACGCATGTTTTCAGCATAAAGATATCACACTGCGCTTTTATCAAGAATGAGCAACAAGAAAAGATAGCAAGCGGTAAGGCTTCTTGGTTTTGAAAATTATCAGCGGGTTGATGACGGGCCTTTTGATTACAGCATTCATGGCTTTCGAAATCACGTGAGATCTGTTAGAAGACGAAGAAACCTTTATAACCTGTTTATTTACATTCGTTAGCTTTTATATTTTAATAATACAATTAAAATATGGACATATATGCTATTGACTAATGATTTACGTAATAAAAGTGATTTGACAAAATGCAACTCTAATCTTTGTTTTCTCTTAGTGTCCTTGACTAACCAACGTCCTGCTAGCGGACTACATAGCACATCGACTAAATATGTTTGTTCTATAATAATACGATAACGTTTTCATATACTTTTACTATTCCATTTTGCTATGGTTAATTTTTGGACAATGAATAAAGGGTGTTTCATAAGTTTTGATGCTTCACAAAACGAATTTATATTTTCGACAAGGAACGAGTCTTAACTAAATATAACTATGTGTGTTGGTAGTAGGCAGTTGCCTGTTCATGATGAAGAATTTTTATTTTTACAAAAAAAATACATTGAACAACGGAAAAATGAAGTTTCAAAGTTTTGGGAAGTATCAGAACTTCTGAAACATCCTTTATACACAAACAGTCTTTTATTGCTTCTGGTCTATTTTGTAGACACTGGTGTCATCAATATAGAGCTTTTAAATATGCCAGTTTGTA